CAGGGGATCCAACAGCATCTTCTGTCCTCCGTGGGCATTGTATGACATGGGTGCACTTACCTACATGCAGACAATGCATGCACACACATAAAATAAAAATAATAAATAAAATATTTTTAAAAAAAACATACATTCCAGAATTCTATAAAAAGTGTGACATCTTGGAAGAGAAACACCTGGGACTCCGTCTCATGCTGTTCTTTCTGTTGTCCCACACCAAGTAAAACAGAGCAGTCGGCTTCTGGACAAGCAAAAGCCTCCTTATTCTAAAGCAGAAAACAAAAGCATAATCACTGTGGTCTGTAGAAGAGGAAGTGCCAGGCTTAAGCACAGGCTGCACTAAGAGAACACAGCTTCCACTTTGACAGAGCAACCCGCGCTTCTGCAAAATAGCCAACCTACAATCTGCCCAGATGAGGGGATCCTGCCCCAATGAGGGGATCTATCAGGAAGCGACACACCAACTTACGGGACACTGGGGGCAGGGGGAGCGGTATACAAGGCTTGCACTTCCCAGCAATAAACGAGTCTGCAGCACCTCGCCTAGTGCCTGCTCTCACCCAACTCCCGGAGTCTGTGTGTTGATTCCACACCACTCACCCCCACCTTGGCCAGAACCCTCATTCCCTGCAATCCCTCGTGGGCTGGACCTGCGAGGAAACCTGCAACAGTGGTCCAAATTCACTTACAGCTGGGGTGTAACTCAGTTGTAGGGTATATATTTAGCACACCTGAGATTCTTGATTCAACCCCTAGCACCAAAAAAGAAATAACTAAATTCACTAAACTCCTTTCTCTCTTCAACTTGGGGTTGTAGAGAATAAATAAAGAGTAGCCTGTTTACCCAAAAGTTAGTCCATGACAAGAGGTAATTTTGTTTGGATGACTCCATTGATATCTGTCCAAAGTCTGGGTCACCTTCCCCCTAGACCCTAGGCTGTGCCAGTAGACCTCTTCCATTCTTTCCTAATCAGAAGGGAAAATAATCTTGAGGGATCAGGATAAAAGACAAGTAAATTTTGAAGAAAGGAATTTTTAGGAAAAAGTTCCTGAACTTTCCTAGGAACAGAATTGACAGAATTATCTCAAAAATGACTGAATGAATGAATCCCAAGTATTTCTCTTGCTGTTTAAATGTACTGTCCATTTTATTAGCATATTGAACTGATAATTAAGATACTGTTGATGTGTACTAATCATAGAATACCACAGAGACTCATAAAGACTATACACATGAGAAAGGTAAGTCTTGATAACAAAGAGACCCAAGAAGAAGTAAGGCTCTTCCTCCATCCTCAGTCTCACACAACACTCAACACAACACTGTTGGTGCGAGTTGTCTAGGGCTTCTTCCCCACACACCAAGCAATTTGCAGATTCTCCATCACACACAAGCTACATGCCTTCTAATTCAATTTAGCTCTGACACTATCCATTTGGAGATGGTGTCAGATCCCACAGGTTGAAGGCTGAGTCCCACAAGACTCTAGATGCCAGTCACAAGCCCCAAGTTGGAGCCTGTGCTGATGGCAGGCAGGCTATAAATCAGCCTACTCATCACTTCTCCTTGGGGCTGATTAATTTGCTAAGAGCAGCTCACTGAACTCAGGGGAGTTGTTTATGGTCGCTACGAAGGACATTTTAGAAGACACAGATGAGCAGCCAGGTAAAAGACATGAACAGGGGAGTTATGGGGGAAAAGGTGTGAGCTTCCGGGACCTGTCCAGGTGCTTCATTCTCCAGGAATTGCCACATGTTCAGTTATCTGAAAGCTTCCAGAATCCAATCCTTTTGGATCTTCATGGAAGTTTCTTAAGTATGATTTGGTCACATCACTAGCCATTGGTGGTCAACTAACTCTTCGGCCCCTTTCCTGAAGGGTAAGGATAAAAGTGCCAACCCTCCAACCATGACTCGGTGATTAGACTCCCATCCAAAAGCTACATAGAGAGTCCCAATCATCAGTCATCACATTACTGTGCAAAAGATCATCTCATCACCCTGACAATTCCAAGGTTTTAGGACCTATGTGACACAAACACAGATTTCACAAACACAGATTTCACAGTATCATGCTCAGAAAATTGTAAGCAATCCATTCTGGCCCTAGTACTGCTGCTTTATGGTACCACCTAAATCCTAGGTAAAGGAAATTGTTATTTAAAAAGTCATCAGACAATAAGACTGCCTATAACGAAATCTGAATTTCAGAAAGCACCAAAAGTCAAAGACCTTAACTATCTAGATCTGAGGTGTCTATGGATTCTCTGCCTACTCTGGACTATCTTGATTTATACCTTATGCCCTCTCATTAAGTATGCCTACTTCTCTCAAAAACGGAACTGTTTAGACAACTGCTCATACAACATCACTAATTGGAAATTAAAGAGATTCCTAAGCATTCCATGACAAAGAAATGCTAAAAGTTTTCAAGACTAGTGATATACACAGAGATGGACTACACAATCAGCTTTCAAACTCCCTAATTAAGAAAGAGTTCATCAACGTTTCAATTTTCACAGCTGCTGAGTATCAAGGGCTCATCTCCACGAAGCATTATGAAACTTCTTCAGACACGAATGTGCAGTTTGGCCTTGCAACCTAGATTTGGGGACTTCCCTCTCCAAATTACCCCCCATCTTAGAGATCCTGGAGAAAGGCACAGTGATTCAGCATTTCTAAGGCATTCATTAAAATGTGCTTCAATTGCAATGAATCAGCGGAGGGAGAAAAAGGCGAAAGTACATAGATATTAAAATCAAAACTTCTTTTTAAAAAGCAGTGATAATGAAATTCTATATTTTCTCTCTCAGCAAAGCCTTTGTAAAGCAACCAAATTGACACAAGTTTCTTATCACTGCTATTAAGTAAGTCATCCTAAGACCAACAGAAAACATATGTAACACTTCTCATCAACTAGTTCAAGACAGGCTTAAAGACAGAACTGAAAGAGAACCACAGACCACAGAAGGAAGTCTCAGGGCACCCACCAAATCAGAACAGCACTATTAATATCTGTCCCGGGGTACTTGCCGGAATCCTGTTTGTGTCATTTCTGTGTTTCCTGGGAAAGAAATCATGTCTTCCTTATCCTTAAAACCCTTATCTCTTAACTGTGAACTCTTAGCATACAGCTTTATACATGAAAAATACAGAACAGATGCTTGTTGAGTTAAACTAATAAGAAAAAAAAGAAAAGAAAAAGGCTTTCTAATATCATTTCTATCTAAACATTCTTTTTAAAAGTAGAAAAGCAGCCCTGCTACTAGGGTGGGGTAGGAGTCAAAAGGCTGAATCATCCCAACAGCAACTAAGTGTTCCCTGGTGAGAAAGCAATCCTCAAATGGTAGGTAAAAGTTTAACAGGCCTTATTATCTGTAGTTTGATATACTGCAGTGAAACCATGCCCCACAAACAAGGCTATTTTAAAGGTAGCCTATAAGGCAAGCATTAGTCCTAGATTCCAACACCTGAATTAGAAAGAAGTTCCCCTGACATTCTTCCACATCTCAGTTGAGGAGGGCTTGGGCATTCTTGAAAGTAGGCAACTCTGGTCTTCCTCCAGCACCCTGTACAAAGTCTCCAGACTTTGAGAAGTAACCACTTAGCACAGGGTCTTCCCACTTGACATAGGTATCATTCATAAGCTATAAAATGGTCCTCAAAGCATGTTATCAAGAGAGCCTTGGGTGTCTCTGCCAAAAAACAACACCCACTCCTTCTATCCGTAAGGCATGGGGTGTTAGTAGGCCCACTAAATTACACAGAAACTTCTGAGGAAACGGCCTGGCAGAGGAGAAATGCATCATCTCAGCCAAGGTGGGCAGCAGCCCCTTCAAAATGACATGGAATGAGGTTAACAAAGTTATTCAACATAAAGGAAACTTTTTCTCAGAGATCTCACATTGTTTAAAAAAATGTAGTAAAAATGTAACTGTTCAAACCTCTTGAATTTTATAATAGTTGCTTTACAACTTTTCAAAAAGTCACCCAAAGGCCTTACGTTCCTATCTCCCCATTTATAACATGGGGATAAATACTATTGCATTTACCTTTGTTTTGGAAAACTAACAAAACAATGATGCAAACCACAGCAGCTTTTCTTAAATAATAGATGTTTAGATAGTTACTGCTCTTGCCAACTGACAGGGACAATTCAGAACGAAATATTTAAACTGCAGGCTCTGTTTCTGCTTCTGATAAAGAACAGAGGCTCTGATTATCCACTATGTAGACCTGCTTGGGATCCAAAATATCAATGCTCAAACAATAGGAAGGAGGGAAGGGGGATCCCTTAAATTCTTTGGACTTTAAATACCTTTGTCTTCATTTGAATATCTTTTTCAAACTCAGTGCCACTTTCTGAACCAACCTAAAAGTAAAGTAAATGTTCGCCATGAAAACAGATTGTCTTGAAGGATCATGTCAATCAAAATTAGTCTCACTTTATGCAAATCATTTCTTCTATTCCTTATACTCTTGAAATGCCGAACTCCTTTCTTACTGGACATATCACAGGAATGTTTTTTCCCTGCTGCCCAATTAAAGAAAGGAAGGACAAGTTATAAATGCAAAGGTTGCTGGGAAAACTGTAGCCACACTGTCTCCAGAGCAGTCCTCTGTATGAGACTGAAAGAAGCTTTTATCTCATAGGAGGTAGTCTCCTCCACCTTAATACAAAGGCTCCCAGAAACAAGTCAGGACCACAAACACATTCACTCCATGGTTCAGTGCCAAGGCACCTGAAAGACACAGGGACTGAGTTTCTCACAGAGGCATCTCAAAGTACCCAGTTTCAGTCTAGACAAAGTGAATCAAACAGCAAACCTTATCCCAGTAGATTCCAAGTTAATTCCCTCCAGTTCTTCCTCTATCATCATATTAATTGCTTTCTTAATAAAATGCTGCTGTAAAATTTGTGAAATCAGATTCTGGCAGAAAATCAAATCCAAGAGGAACTCTTCATGGCTGCAACTTTAGCAGGCCCAGCTCCTGCCTACCTTATTGTGTTTCTGCTGGTGTCTTGCCTTTGTGTCAAGAACATGATAGGGGCTTTCGGAGTCCTGGTTGATGTAATATACAAGTCTTGAAGGCAGTGTGATTTCCTTCTGCATTGCATTGTTGTAGCTGATATTACTGCTGATGTTCTGTCGCAACATACTGTCTTCATCTGCCAGAACTCCCAGGTTTTTTTCTGCAGTTTCATTCCAATGTGGATCTGGAGGGGTGGGAGGGGGACAGAAAGCACAAATATACACAAACACACACATATACACCCCATAAATAGCTGTGTTCTAAAATGCATTTTTCCATTAATTACGTTAACAAAGTTTCCAATTTATAAGGAGGTTAGAGGTGGAGATACAGAAAAGCAATTGTACCAATGGGATGGCCTGCATAGGTTAGTGGCCAGGAGGGCTTATACAATCATGTACCACAGTCATGTATACATTTTCTGTGTAGTCTCAAATCTGTATGCCTTAAGTATGAGGGGGAAGGGTCAGAAAGGACTTAGAAAAAAGTCAGGAAATGGGCAAGCTCCAGGGCCCTGAGCCTCATCCTCACTCCCCAGGATTCAGAAGCTGCACTGTACTCAACAGCATCTCACCTGAGAGCTAAGAACACTTCTAACAGAGTTTGGGTGCTGAATTCGTGGACATGGAAATGTGAATTGATTATCTTAACAATGTGCACGATTCCCTTTTCTTTTAACTTTGAGATGAGCAAAAACTGTCCTGCCATAGACGCTGGCAGCTTTCCAGTCTCTTTTTCTTTTACTGCCAGGGCCAGCTTTCTGCTTTCAGTGACTTCTAATCACCAGTGTATTCAATATTGTATTATTCTGACTGCTCATTATAACGACAAGCATTTTGCAAAAACACAGCCAAAGGTCATGCACAACGTATGTCTTGGAGACTTTAATTCTTTGGTGCCCAAAGTATGCTTCCCTCACCTTAATTCCAACTGCAGGGACTAAACCTGCTGGGAAATTTCAGGAAACAAACATTTGCCACTATTCTACACCCTCCCCGCATTCATATGAAGGCTCCGCCACGCTAGAAGCAACTTGCTCCTTCGCTGCATTTCCCAGCCACTGGAAGTTACATAGAGATCGCTAAGGGGCCCAGGAACCACCAAATTACCTCCAGGTGGAACCCACAGTCACTGGAATGGGTTTCTAGTGAATGCAACGGACTTCCAAAAGTGAACTAGAGTGAATGGGGGTTTGGGACCAAGAAGGGTTGGAGAGGCCGACAGGCAGGCACGCAAAGGCCAGGCAGGGGACCCACACGGCACACGCACCTGCATGCCCTTCGCCTTCCTCCTCAGGGCCCCACGGGGATGGCAATGCAAAGGGCACCGGGCCATACCCACCGCTGGGCGCAGCGGCCCCTCGGGGGCCGGGCCGGGACGAGGCGGCGAGCGCAGGCAGCAGAAGGACGAGGAGCAGGCGGCAGGGCGGCGCGTAGGGCCGCGGGAGGCGCCTGCAAGGCTGCAGCCCGTCGTGGGCGGCCGCCGGGACCTGCTGCCGGGCGGCTTCATGGCTCATCGCTCCCGGGCGCCACTCCGAGTGACCCGCGAGAGCGCCGGGCTGGGCTGCAGGGCGGCTGCGGGCGGAGCCGGTCACGCCGGCTGGGCGCGCATGCTGCGGCCGCAGGCAGAGGACAGGGGCTCGGGGGCTCAGGGCTGGTGGCGCGCCCTTCTCGGTTCTCCTCTCGGCCCTTCCTGGAGCGGCCCGCAGAGGAGGGGGGGAGAGGGTCCCGCCGCTCCGCCAACTTGGAGCCTCCCCAGCGGCTGCACCTTCCCAGTGGCGGGCGCGGCCGCTCCAGCGACTGCAGGGGTTGCTGCCGGGCCTGAGGATGCTGAGGAGGCGCGCGGAAGCTGGCGGCGCGGGCGCGAGACGCGGGGATGCGCTTCTCGGCGTGCACCCCACCCTCTGGGCGCGCGCCCGAGCGGGGTTTCGGGTACCGATGCTGATGCTGATGCAGTTGCTGATGCTGTGGCCCGACTCGGGCCCGCACTGCGCATGCTCTACTGTGGACGCCCCCGGGAGGCGGGGGGAGGTGCAGAGTGATGCAGCATCCCAGGCAGCAAAAAGTGATGGTGCCACCTCCAAAGATGGGACACAGGGGAGCAAGAAGCTGGCAGTCAGTGATAAGCCCTAAGGGAAGACAGAAGAGTGCAGGGGCTTCCTGGCGGGAGGTAGGCCTGATCTGGAGAAAACAAAGCGCCTAGGGAAGCGACCCAGACCTCAGTGCCCCTTCTCTGCCCTCCCTCTCCAGCGCAAGGAAAACTGAGACCACGCATTTTCTTTCTTAATCCTTTATTTCCTCCAAGTAAACATAAAGGACTGCAGTCAAGGAGGTAAAAATAGCTCTGCTCCTCAGAGCAAGTCGGCAGCGAGTGGGATGATGGTGGAAGCACGTTGGTAGTTGAAGGCTGGCGTCTATGGGCGCCAAGCCGCTGAGATCCTCTTCCAGGGGCCTGGGTCCTCCCTGCTTGTGCCCAGGGGCTTTGAAGATAGCTGATGAAGCTGAAAGATGATCATTCCTAAATTCAGAAAGTGTGATGGTAAGGAGAAATAGGAGACTAGAAACAGATTGTGGCAGCTCTCTTGGGAAATCCATCCTTTGTCAACCACGGGGGTGGGCAGGCATTTCTGAGAACACATTTCTATTTTTTCGATCCAGTCCTGTCTTATGCAGAGAAAATGGGTATTTTCTCTTGCTGTTGTTAAAAGAAAGAAAGTAAATCCAGTTCCCTGATTTAGGTGAGTTAGCCACTTCTGGCGGTTCCAATTTAGAGTTTGAGATACATTTCTACCACCAGATTCTGGTAACTCGAACATTAATTTATTCACTCTCCCAATGATGGTCGGAGTAATAACAGTAGTGTCTTACTCCGTTACTTGTATTTAAAATAGAAATAAGAATATCCAGTGCGAGAAGGACAGGAAGGGACAAAGAAGTCTGTGCTTAAAAGAAAGAGGTGGGGCTTACAGCACCATCACCATGTCAAGACCATGTTAGCCATCCTCTCAGCCCCCACTTCACCAAAAGAAATGAGGGAGGAAGAGATTCAAAAACAGACTCACAAACACAGACCTAAGATTGCAGAGATGTTAGGGGTGTTAGATATTAATTGTACCTCTTTGTTTCCAAATTCAAGCTTGGGTGTTTGTTCACACATCAATTTCTAACTGATGCTACCTCCTCCTAGGAGGGCAGCACCAGTATTTTCTTTTCACTCACATTGCACCCCAAGGTCCTAACATGATACTGAAGGCCCAGGGAAATCTCTTGGAAAATATGTGTTCAATAAGTAAACTACTGGGCGGTGCAGATAAACGGGGGTCCCTGGCCAGGCAGCTGGTGAGCACTCTGGTTTCCCTACAGAGATCTCCCTCCAGATGAGCACGTCTTGGTTTGGTTTATATTTTGTATGTTGTATATTCTGAAAAAAAAGACCTGGGAGAATGGCAACCAAAAAATAAGATAGACAAGGAACTGAAGGGAGAAGGGAATGAAAAGAGAAAGATGCCCAGACACAGGTTACTTCAAAGGCATCTCTTGCAATTGAGGGACAATCTCCCAAAGTCTGCTCCCTAAATAAACCTACCAGCCAAGCCTGGCCAACTGATTAGCACCATTTATAAGCCACCAAAGGAGAATCCTGCCTTACATACTCTAAGCGACATTAGTATACAGAACTTTAATGTTTACAGATATTGTTGGAGGCAAGACATTGCTTAAGTAAATGAGACAGAAAAAAGAGTCAACCACCTAGAAAAGTTTATTGAAATTTGGTCTTTAACCTCCATTTTTAAGGGAAGGTTAAAAACAGAATCATTCATTGGCCAGTTCCTTAGATTTACTGATATTCTTGTTTTACTGTAACAGAGTTTACTTCAAAATAGTCCCATCTTTGCCCTCATGATATTACTTTCTGGCTTGTTATCTAATGCTTTGCTCTGCGTATGCAAATCAGATTTCCCTTCCGAAACATACTAAGAACACACAATGGGGATGTAGCACTCAGCTAGCATGTACAAGGCCCTGGGAATTCCATTTCCAGCACTGAAAAAAAAAAAGAACAAAACTGTGTCATGGTAGCAACATGAGATATTCAGCAGGCTGGGGTGCAGTGAAGAAAATGAGAACCCAGAAGCTGAGAACCAGGCTGCTTCAAAGGTTACAATCTGTGCTTCACACAGTGATTACAAAGGTGCACTGGTCCCCAAGGCCACAAACAGACCACTGGAGTGATCTGGTCAAATATCAGACATGGAAAACTGCAGCTGTAAGGGTCCACAGGGAAAAATCATATCATGCAATACAGACACAAGGAAGGGTGCATGAAAGCAACATCTGGAGAGAGCAATCAAATGCTCACAGAAATGGCTCAGCTGGCCTGGACAGATAGGCCACCTGAGGCCTCTCTTTTCCATAGCCTGCTCATTTTGAATCAATGAGAAAATTAGAACTAGACAAGAACAAGAAAAAGGCAAAAGCGGAGATATTAGATTTTGAAGATATGTGCCAAAATGGGAGAAAGGGTCACAAAAGAGCTCCCACCAGCGTGAAAGAAGATAAAAACAGAGGCAGTGCCACAGAGCAGATTCACAAGAACAGCCAGAAGGGTATAGTGATTTGGCCAGAAAGAACGTCAAAGAAGGAATGTCAAAGTTGGATGCTGGTGCTGAGGAGTGGTCTGGGAGAGAGCAGGAACACAAAGAAAACAAACAAGGGCAAAAGGACTTCCGTGAGGCTCAGGAGCACCCAGCAACACAGAGCCAGCTGGAGCTGATCAGAGCACAGATTCTGCCTTGGACGCTTTGCAGTGTCTTTTTTAGGATGGCTGTAAACACTGACTCTACAGGTGGAAGTCCACACCTTGAAGGAGAGGAGACAATTCATTTCTTAGTAAAAGTATAAAATGAGGGGCTGGAGAGATAGTGCAACAGTTAAGAACACTGTTCTTGCAGAAGACCCAAGTTTGAATCCCAGTACCCACACGGCAGCTAACAACTGTCTGTAACTCCAGTTCCAGGGTATCCAGTCTCTTCTGTCCTTCACAGGCATTGCACGACATGGGTGCACTTACCTACATGCAGGCAATACACACACATAAAATATAAATAATATTTTTAAAAAGTATAAACTGAGTGGGTTCCATTGTCATTAGTTTTCAAATGGCTCAGGAATTAGTACAAACCTTCATTAAAGAGCCAGATAGTACCTCTCTGACTCTATGGGCTATGTGGCACCTATTTTATTTTCAACAATATTTTTAAAATGCAAATAACAGGGCTGGTAAGAGTCTTACTAGGCAAAGATGCCTGCTGCCAAACCTGACAACTAGAGTCTACAAGTTGCCTTTTGACCTCCATAAGCATTCTATGGCTTACACACACACACACACACACACACACACACACACACACACAAATAAGCACAATAAAAATTTTTACTGTAAAAATCATGTAGCCTGCAGGATCTGACTTATCTGTCCATCATTTTTAACAGCAAAAATATAATATATAGCAAAAATATATAGTGTGTGCATTATATATCAATATATGTTAAAGGTTAAAAGTTTTCATCAAATACATTATTTTCTATGACTTGTGAGTAGAAAAGTGAAGAAGAGGGCTGGAGAGATGGCCTCACAGTTAAGAGCACTGACTGCTCCTCCACAGGGCTCTGGTTCAGTTCCCAGCACCCCCATGGTGGCTAACAGTTGTCCATAACTCCAGTTCAAGGAATCCAACACCCTCTTCTAGTCTCTGCAAACATTGCACACACATGATGCACTTAAATCCATGTAAGCAAAACACTCATACAAATAAAATAATACATAAATAAACAAACTGATTTCAAAAGGACCGGTGAGATATAGTTCAGTGGGTAACCTGCCCCCAAGCAACCTAAGTTCAATTTCCAGGACCCACACGATGGAAGAGAACTGACTCCCAAGCATTGTACTCTAACGTCTGCATGTGCACTATGGCACATGTAACCCTACACTCCCACAATAAATGTAATTTTAAAACTTTTTAAAAGAATAATAATCATTCCTGTTATTCAGCTGTTTGTTTAATCAATATGTAGTCACTAAGTTCTTCAGAGATGCTTACTACATGAAAAGATTCCAAGGAAGAAGCATTCCTCCTTTTGGTGCTAATTCCCAGAACTTAGATAATGGGAGAAATGTCAGAACTCATTGCCCAGACAGACATGGAAAAGAGTCCAAACTTTTCCTTTGTCATGCCAAACTGTATTTTCTGGTGAGCAGAGACATCTTGAATGAATATTACAGCCATGACAAGTCAGAAAACAGAGTAGTGCGTGTGGTGACAGCCCTTTCCCAAACTTGTCACCACCGCTGATCTGCCTGTGTTCTATACACTCTGTCCTGAAGAGCAGCTGCAGGACCGTGAGTGTGTCCTCCAGGCACAGCTGCACTCAATGCCACCTAAAACCTGCACATTCATGGAAAATGAATCTGCAAGTCTGCATTAAGCACACAGTTGTTGAAGAGCTGGGATGGGGTTCAGTGGGTAGAGTGCTTGCCTAGCATGCATATACCTGTGGGTTCAGTGACCAGCACTGCATAATACCAAGAGTGGTGTGGTGGTGTACACCTGGAATCCCAGATAGAGGCAAAAGAACCAAATGTCAAGGTGATCCTTAGCTATTTAGAGAGTTAGAGGCCAGCCTGGGAAAATATATATATTTTTTTCATCAAATACATTATTTTCTGTGACTTGTGAGTAAAGTGAAGAAGAGGGCTGGAGAGATAGCTTCACAGTTAAAATATATACTGATCAAGATGGATGAGCAGAAAGAATGGGATGGCATGGAAACATCCCCATGGACATCAAATACATTATTATATATATGCCCTACCTCAAAAATCAATTAATTGAAAATTTTTAAATAGCAGTTATTCTGA